TCTTCCCACATAATTAACTGTCTCTGAAAACCCACCAGAGGGTCAACTACAGGTAGGTTCTAATTCTACAGTACACAACAACAACGTTAAGAAATATGTGTCAATATAAATAAAATGAGCAAATTTCCCGAAAAGCTTTCTTTTTGAACTTGCTAAAAATTACCTGAGATCATATCGACATATGCAATAACATGAAAAAATCTTGAATCATGGTGCTAAGTGAAAATGCCAGATTCATAAAACTACCTGCTGTTTGCTTCCATGTATGTGACATTATTTATAAGACTAAGTTATAGAGATAGAAAACATACCCAAGGATTTATGTGGAGGAAGGCGTCGCCTTCTTAATGGCATGTTGTTTTCATGTGTCACTGAGTCACCTAGCAACCCGAAGTACAGTAGCGCTGGATGTTGCTCTATCCTCAGCCAATCTCACTGTCTCTGACACACTTAACCCCAGAATGTCAGTTACTGTGTCAGTCAGTCTCATTCAGGGTCTTCTTTCCTTGCACTGTTCCATCCCCTGCCAAGCATGATGTCCTTCTCTAAGAACTGGTCCCTCCTGGCAACATGCCCAAAGTGTGAGATGGAGCTTAAAAATCATTGCCTCTGACATCCATTTTGGTCTTTATTTCTTCCTGCATCTTTGTAATGACCTTTTGCATTCTTAATGGAAGATATTCTTAATATCTTCCCAGAGATTATCCGGTATTTGTTCATTAATGTTCAAACCCTCAAACCTATATGTGTGTGTGTAAACACACTCGCACACATGCTCAGAAGGGTGGAGGGACAGTGCAGAAGAGGAAGATCCTGGATGAGATGGATTGATATAGTGACTAGGGCAATGGGCTTAGGTGTGTCAAAGTCAATGAGACTGGCTCAGGACAAGGCAGGCTTCAGATCAATTGTATATAGAGTTGCTATGAGTCTCAGGAAACTTTATGGCACAAAATAATAATATATATGTATATACATATGTATGCATATTAATATATGTATGTATACATGTCTGTATGTGTACATATGTATAGTGTGTGTATGTGTGTGTATGTATGTATATATATATACACATTGTGTGTGTATGTGTATATATATATTTACATGCTGCCAAGTCATGTACAACTCACAGTGACCCTATGCACAACAACTCTAAACCTTGTTTTTTCTTGTTTTATGTTCAATACTTTTCTCCAACCTAACAACTTAAAAGCATTGATGCTTCTTCTATCATCCTTAGTAACTGTTCAACTCTTTGAAACATAGCAAGTGATTTTGAAGACCATGGCTTGGATTAGGCAGACCTTGGTCTCTAGAATGACATCTCTGCTCTTCAGTACTCTGGACAGGTCTTTGATAGCTTATTTTCCCAATTCAATTTGTCTTTTGATTTCTTTCTGCTGAAAAAAAAGTATTGATTGCACAACAAAGCAAACTGAAGCTGTTAACAATCAATTGTGAGAAGCCAAAACAAAGGGAAAACATATTGAAGTAAAAGAGCTGAATAGAAAAAAAAAAAAAAAGAGCTGAATAGAAGAATTCAAAGGACAGCTTGAGAGGACAAAGAAAAATATTATAATGAATTGTGCAGAGAGTTGGAATTGGAGAAAAAAAATGGAAGAAATCACTTTGCATTTCTCAAGCTGAGAGAACTGAAAAACAAATATAAGCCTTTTGTTGCAATATTGAAAGATGCTATGCAAATATATTGAATGACCCAGGAAGTAGTCAAAGAAGATGGAGGGGAATACACAAAATCACTGTAAGAAAATAACTGATTGACACTGAAAAGTTTCAGGAAGTGCCATATGAAAAGGAGCCAATGGTAATGAAGGAAGAGGTAGAAGCTGCATTTCAGGCATTGGCAAAAAATAAGGCCCCACAAATCAACAGAAAACCAATTGACTTATTTCAATTAAGAGATGCAGACTTGGATGCACTCACCAGTCTATGCCAGGAAATTTGGAGGACAGCAGTCTGATCATCAGATTGGAGGAGGTCTGTATTTGTTCCCATTCCCAAGAAAGGTGATCCAACTGAACGTGGAAACTTTTGAACAGTATCGTTAATATCACATGCAAGCAAAATTTTGCTGAAGATAATTCAAAAATTTCTAGGACAGTACATATATAAGGAACTGCCAGAAATTCAAGCAAAATTTAGAAGAAGCTATGGCACTAAAGATATCATTGCTGATATCAGATGGATCCTGGCTGAGAGTAACGAGTATCAGAAGAATGTCTATTTGTGTTGGACCAGGAGGCAGTCGTCAGAACAGAGTAAAGAAACATAGTTCACAATTGGGAATGCTGTAGACGGGGATGTGCCCTATCTTCCTACCTTTTCAATCTTTATGCAGAACAGATTATTTGGGAGGCTGGGCTCTATGAGGAGATATGTGGCATCAGGATAGGAGGAAGATTCATCAACAATCTGTGTTATGCAGACACAACCATGCTTGCAGAAACCGAGGAGGACCTGAAGGGTTGGTGCAGAAGATAAGAGACTACAGTCTTCAGTATGGATTGAGGTTTAGTATCAAGAAAAAAAAGATTTTCAACACTGGGCCAATTGGCAACATCAGGATGGATGGTGAAGAGATTGAGATTGTTCACAGCTTTAGTTTGCTTGACTCCACAATCAAAACTCATTAGCACCAGCAACCAGGAAACAAAATGACATATTGCAATGGGAAAGTCTGTGATTAGAGACCTCTCTAAAGTACTGAAAAGCCACACTGTCAGTCGGGAGACTGAGGTGTGTCTGATACAGGCATGATGTTTGCCATTACTTGCTATGCATCCGAGAACTGGGCAATGACTAGGGATGATATAAAGAGAATTTATGCCTTTAAGCTGTGGTGTGGGAGAAGAGTATTGAATATACCATTAACTGCTAAGAGAACAAACAGGTTTTTCCTGGATAGGGTGAAGCCAGGCTGCTCCTTGGAGGTAAGGATTCTGAAGCTTCATCTGACAAACTTTGGACATGTTGCAAGGAGGAACCAGTCCTTGCGAAGGATGTAATGCTTGGGAGGGTGGAGGGACAGGGCAGGAGAGGAAGACCCTTGATGAGATGGATTGATTCAGTAAGTGGGGTAGTGAATGGGGATAGATGTGTCAGAAACAATAAGATCAGCACAGGATAGAGCATGGTTTAGGGCTGTCGTACATAAGGTCAATATGAGTTACAGGTAACTTGATGGCACATAACAATAACAATAAAGGTATCTGTGTGGATTATGACAAGTTGTGGCTGACACTGAGAAGAATGAGAGTCTCAGAACACTTAATTGTGCTCCTACGGAAACTTAACTTGGACCAAGAGGCTATTACGCAAATAGAGCAGAAAAACACTGCATGTTTTATAAATTAAGAAAGAAGTGTGTCAAGGTTGTATTCTCTCTCTATGCCTACTTACTCTATATGCTGAGTTAATTATTAAAAAAGCTGGACTCTATGAAGAGGAATATGATATCAGTATCAGAAGGAGACTCATCAATAACTTGTGTTTTGCTTGCTGAAAGTGAGGAGGACTTGAAACACTCATTGCAGAAGATCAAGGAATGCATACTTCAGTATGTATTTCATCTCAATGTCATGGAAACAAAGGTTCTTACCATTGAACAGATCAGATCAGCAATAGCATAATGAATGTAGAAAAGATCAAAACTGTCAATAACTTCATTTTACTTGGATCCACAATCAATACCCTTGGTACCAGCAGTTAGGAAATAAGGAGACACATTGCACTGGGAAAACCTGAAGTTAAGGATCTTTTCAAATTATTGGGGAGTTATCATGTCATTTTGAGGACTGAAGTGCATCTGATTGAGGTCATGGCCTTTCTGATTACTTGCTATGCATTTGAGAGCTGGACAATGAACGAGGACTACAGAAGAATTTATGCCTTTGAGCTGTGGTGTTGGAGAACACTGAACATCCCATAGACAGCTAAAAGAACAAACAAATATGTCTTGGAGAGCGTGCAGCTGGAGTGCTCTTTGAAGGCAAGAATGGTAAGGTTTTGCCTCACATACTTTGGGCATGTTGCTAGGAGAGGTTATTCCTTGGAGAGGAACATCATGCTTAGAAAGGTGGAGATTTGGCAAAGGAGGGGAAGACCCTTGACCAGGTGGATTGACAAGGTACCTGCCAAAATAGGCTCTATTGTGTCAGGAAGTGTGAGGATGGCACAGGCTAGAAGAGGGTTCAGATCTGTTGTTCGTAGGGTCGCTATGAGTCATACTCAACTTGATGGTACCTAAAAACAATAATACCTTCTGCTAAATTCCCCAATTGTATTTGATGAAGTAATGAAGTTCTTTTTTTCTTGTTTCTCCTGATTTTTTACCTATTACCAAAATCACAGTGTGGAAAATACTCTTTGATGTGCCTACCAGAAACCAGGTGCATTTATTTATCATTCCACATGATTAGGAGAATTTTACCTTCACTCCAAATTAAGGCAGACTTCTTATACTAAACCTAATGTATTCCTCTACCTTCACTCTTTTGCTCATACATCCTCCTCATCCAATGTGTTCGGTAATCTGCATGAGCCATATCTTTCCTTCAAAAATGATTTAAGTCTACTGTTCATGTCAGCTCTTCACCAACTCTTTAAAGTTGGGTAATATTTTCCCTTTTCCAAAATCTTTGTGAAGTGTTAGCATACAAATGTAATTGTTAAGTACATATGGAGCCCGATGACATAGAGTATTACGAGTTAGGCTCATAAGCAAATAGGTCTATAGTTTGAACTATTTCATGGGAGTAAGATAGAAAATCTCCAGTCAGAAACTTGATGAAGAGTTACCACAAGTTAGAAGCAACTTGATGAGACTAAAGTCTGTTTTTCACTAAGTATATATTAACGAATCTGGTTTCTAAATATTGAGAGTCTATTGTTTCTACATTTCATTCATAATCAATAAGATTCTTATTTTAAAGAAAATAAATACTATAAATTATAGAACCAACAATCATCTACAAACAAACCTGAACAATGCCAACAGAATGATAAGGAGAGCACATTGTAGACATGAAAGCAAGGCCCACAGTTGTCCCAGAAAGTTCTGTTGCCCTGCAAAAAAGGATAATAAGAATAATAGTAAGTTATAACCAACCATATTTTCTATACACAATTCTTCCAGGACTCTGAGTCCAATTAGTAGAGAAACACAGTGGTTTACCACTCAAATTTTTTTCCATTTACATAAGATATTTTGAGTGTACCATGGACTGCTAAGAAAACAAACAGGTTCATCCTAGAGAGGGTTAAACCGGGCTGCTCCTTGAAGGCAAGGATTCTGAAGCTTCATCTGGGATATTTTGGACATGTTGTAAGGAGGGACCGGTCCTTGGAGAGGGAAATTATGCTTGGGAGGGTGGAGGCACAGCGCAGGAGGGGAAGACCCTCTATGAGGTGGATTGATTCAGGGGTAATCAGGATGGGTGTGTCGGAGGCAGTGCGATTGGCACAGGATAGAGCAGTGTTTAGGGCTGTTGTACATAGGGTCGCTATGAGTCTCAAGTGACTTGACGACACATAACAACGACAACAACAACATTTTTTCCCCTGCAGAACGGTTCTCATATCACCTGAAATCCAAGCACCTTGTAATTACTTTTTATTTTCTATATCCGTATTCATACAAGGAGGTCTAGTGAATACCACTATCATTCAAATAAATGCACCAACAACTAGAGCCAAAGAAGAGGAAATGGAAGATTTCTACCAACTTTTGCAGTCAGAAATTGATCAAACAGGCAATCAAGATTCATTGATAATAATGGGTGACTAGAACACAAAAGTTGGGAACAGGGAAGAAAGAAGGATCAGTAGCTAGAAAACATGGACTCGTTGAGAGAAATGAGGCTGGAGATAGAATGATAGAATTCTACACATTCAATGATTTATTCATTGCAAATACTTTTTTTATTATTTGAATGATACTTTAAAATTTTTTTTAATTTATTCTAATGAACATTTACAGAGATTTTGGATTCCGTTCATTCATTGTTGCATTTTTCTCCCTGCTGACCCCTCGCCCCTAGTTCACTCTTCTCTTTGAAAGGTAAAAGAAAAATTCCTTCATTGGTATACAATCTCCTCCCCCTCCCCGCAGTACACTCCACTATGCAACCTTCATTCTGGACTCTTGTCATAACCATAATACCCAATCATATATCGCTTTTAAACTGTTCTCTCCCTCATTTGTTTCAATGCAAATACCTTTTTATAAGAAACATGGATCTCACCTGATGGTTTGAATAGGAATCAAATTGATAACATTTGTGGAAAGACTCACTAGAGAAGCTCAGTATCAGCTATGAAAAGCAGGCCAGGTGCTGATTGTGGGATAGACCGCAAACTACTAACATGCAAGTTCAAGCTGAAGTTGAAGAAAATTAAATCAAATCCACGGGAACTAAAATTTGACGTTAATTCTGTCCCACTTAAATTTCAATACCATCTCAGGAACAGGTTTGAGGACTTGAGCACCAATGAGCCTAGACCAAATGAACTCTGGGAGTATATCAAGAAAATCGTCCATGAAGAATGCAAAAGATATTACAAAGGCTGAAGAAGAAAAGACCAAGATGGGTGTCAGATGAGACTCTGAATATTGCATTAGAGCGCTGAGAAGTCAAAGCTAATGGAAGAAACCAAGAAATCAAGGAGTTGAATTTGCAAAAGGCAGCACGGGACGACAAAGCAAGATACTATAATGAAATGTGCAGAGAGCTGGAGTCAGAAAATCAAAAGGGCCAAACTCACTCAGTGTTTCTTAAGCTGAAGGAGTTGAAAAACAAATTCAAGCCACAGGTGGCAATACTTAAGGATACTTTGGGTAAAATGTTAAATGATCCAGGAAGCATTAAAAGAAGATGGAAGGAGTACACAGAGTCACTGTATCAGAAGGAATTGGCTGTCATAGAACAATGTCATGAAATAACATCGGAGTAAGAAAGAGCCTGTGGTGATGAAGAAGGAAGTACAAGTTGTTCTGAAGGAACTGGCAAAAAACAAGGCTCCAGTAGTTGATGAAACACCAATTGATATATTTCAACAAACAGACCCTGCCCTGGATGTGCTCACTAAGTCGTGCCAAGAAATATGGAGAACAGCCAGCTGGCCAACTGACTGAAAAAGATATTTGTTTCCATTCCAAAGGAAGGTGACCCAACAGAGTGCGGAAATTATAGAACAATATCATTAATATCACATGCAAGCAAGATTCTGCTGAAAAGTATTAAAAAACGATGGGAACAATATGTCAAAAGAGAACTACCGATGTGTAGGCTGGATTTAAAAGAGGTCGTGGTACTAGGGATATTACAGCTTATGTTAGATGGATCTTGGCAGAAAGCAAAGAATACCAGAAGAATGTCTATCTGTGCTTCATTGACTACGCAAAGGCTTTTGACTGTGTGGATCATAACAAGCTACGGCTGACTCTGAGAAGAATGGGAATCCCAGAACATTTGATTGTGCTTAACGTGAAACCTATACTTGGACCAAGAGGCATTGGTCAGAACAGCAAGGAGATACTACATGGTTCAAAATAAAAAAGGGCATCTGTCAGGGTTGTATTTTGTCTCCATACCTTTTCAATCTGTATGCAGAACAGATCATGCGAGCTTCTGGGATGTACGAGGAGGAATGTGGCATCAGGATTGGTGGAAGAGTCATCAACCTGCATTATGCAGATGACACAACCTCAGCTTGCTGAAACTGAGGAGGACCTGAAGCACTTGCTACAGAAGGTCAGGGACTGCAGCCTTCAATACAGATTGAAGTTCAACATCAAGAAAACAAAGATTCTCACCACTAGGGCAATTGGTAGCATCAATATGGATGGTGAAGAGATTGAGATAGTTAACAGTTTGTTTACTTGGCTCCACAGCCAACACTCTAGGTACCAGCAGCCAGGAAATCAAGAGATTAATTGCATCAGGAAAGTAAGCTGTGAGAGACTTCTCATGAGTACTGAAGAGCAACGACATCAGGCTGGAGACTAAGGTGCACCTGATCCAGGTTATAGTCTTAGCAATTATGTGCTATGCATTGGAGAGTAAGACAGTGAGTAGGGATGATAGAAAGAGTCTTGATCCTTTTGAGCTGTGGTGCTGGACAAGAGTGTTGAATATACCATGGACGGCAAGGAGATCAAACAGGTTTGTCCTGGAGAGAGTGAAGCCAGAATGTTCCCTGGAGTCAAGGATTCTGAAGCTTTGTCTGACATAGTTTGGGCATGTTGCAAGGAGGGAGTGGTCCTTGGAGAGGGACATCTTGGTTGGGAGAGTTGGCGGGACGGTGCAGGAAAGGAAGACCCTCAATGAGATGGATTGATTCTGAGTGGAGTGGTGGGAATGAGTTTGTTTGAGATCATGAGGTTGGCACAGGATAGAACAGTGTTTAGGTCTCTTGTACGTAGGGTTGCTTTGAATCACAAGTGACTTGATGGCACATAACAACAACAACAACAACTTTTTACTAATTATTATTTTACTTTTAATTCTTAATTTTGTCCTTCATGTAAGAAAAAGCTATTTGTTCTGAGTTTTTTCCCTACCTTATTTTCTTATATCATTTCTACACATGCTTTGTTATCATTTGTATTTATTTAGCATACGTATATATATGTTTACTTTTATTTACATTTATTGTTGTTGTTTAGCACTAGTTTAAAATCAGTGGGATTGGGGATTTAGGCCCAGTCTTAAAGTGTTTGTATTATTAAAGACTTTTGATATTAACATGTATATTCTACTGAAGAGGGATTTGGACCATTTGTATTTACTTGCAAAGATACTCTCATATATTGATTATGTTCCTCTCGAAATACTTATTCCAAGAAAGGAAAACAGGCAGGATCCTACCATGCTATTTACAGTCTCTGAAATAGTCAACTGTGAGTCATTTATGACTTGACAGCCACTGAATGAGTCTGCTTGGCTGGGCCATGATTTTTGGTGTTTTGTGCATAAGAGTGTAATGTGACAGTTATGTAATAATGTGATCATCCTTCAAGATGCAGTTTAACATGACCATCCTTAAACTCAATATAAGAGGTTAGAATGGAACGCACGACCATCCACAGCCTTAATCTAATATAAGGAGAGCTTCCTTAAAGTGTGGCTTACAAGAGATTTACAGAGAGAGGAACAAGAAAATTGGGAGACCTCAATATCTCAAGAAAGAAGAGCCAGGAGTGAATTATATCCTTTGGACCCAGAATTCTTTTTGATAAAAATTATAAATTCAGGTAAAACATTAATGCCCAAACTCAAGAGATATCCCAGGAAATCTGAGCCTACAGATGCTGAGAGGACAAGGAATATAATTCAAAATCTTCAGAGTGAGAGAATATCTTCCCTAGACCCAGCACTCTGAAGTTTATATTTTTGTTCGTTAAAGGCAATCACCTGCAGTAAAAGAAAATGATAAATCTAGACCTTAATAATTTTTATTTGCTATTTTTTAATTTTTCTTTTCTAGATTGAGATTGTTCACAGCTTCAGTTTGCTCGGCTCCACAGTCAACACTCATGGTACCAGCAGCTAGGAAATCAAAAAACGTATTGCTATGGGAAAGTCTGCTGTTAGGGACCTCTCTAAAGTACTCAAGAGCAACAGTGTCTCTCTGGAGACTAAGGTGTGCCTGATACAGGCCATGGTTTTTGCAATCACTTGTTATGCATCAGAGAGTTGGACAATGACTAGAGAGGATAGGAGAATTGACGCCTTTGAGCTGTGGTGCTGGAGAAGAGTATTGAATGTACCATTGACTGCCAAGAAAACAAACAGATTCATCCTAGAGAGGGTTAAACCAGGCTGCTCCTTGGAGGCAAGGATTCTGGGGCTTCGCCTGACATACTTTGGACATGTTTTGGACAGGTCTTTAGAAAGGGATATCATGCTGGGTAGAGTAGAGGGACAGCGCAGGAGGGGAAGACCCTCTATGAGGTGGATTGATTCAGTGACTGGGGTAATCAGGATGGGTGTGTCAGGGGCAATGCGATTGGCACAGGATAGAGCAGGGTTTAGGGCTGTTGTACATAGGGTCGCTATGAGTCGCAAACAACTCGACGGCACATAACAACAACAACAACAACAATAATTTGTAGTGGTTTCATGTGCTTTACTTTGTTCTTTTAATATCCCCACAAGATACTGGTTCTTGTTTGTTTAAATATTTGACAGTGCTGCAACTTCTTTATTAAATTCCATTACATACAAATGAAACATATTACTGGCTCTACCAAGCAAGGAAGGAAATTAGAGAGCTCACACTCACTTTTCATTCTCTGTAGTTTTATCTCTCGACTTAACCTGTAATTTCAGATTGTTATTCTGAGCTTATATTTTGCACTATTCATATTTTAATGATTTATATTCTTTATTTATCTTTTGAAAAGTATATTTTTTACATATTTTTAATTACAAATCTGTGTAATTTCAATTATCACTATTAACTTATTTGTGAGAAACAAAATATCTCTATTATTTGGAAATTTTCTATTTCATTTCCATTTAGATGATAACGTGTATTTAGGTTCTGACATTCTTACCTGATTAGATCTAAGTCTCTATTAACAATAAAGAAAATAATTGAACAAATTTCTTAGTAAATGGTTGTGATTGTAGTTGTGCCATTGAGTTGGAACCAAGCCATGGCTCACTCTCTAGTGGGTTTTCAGAGGCAGTAAACTACATAGGCAGAGATTGCTTATCCTTTAAATGGTAAATGAGAGCACTCAAATTTACAAATGGAAACACAAATACCATAATATCATATTATCTTTTTAATTAGTATTTTAATCTGTCCCCATGTAGATACTATCATAGATTGATTTGTGTTCCTCTCAAAAATATGTATTCCAAGAAATGAAAACAGACGAGATCCTACCATGTGATTTACAGTTTCTGAAATTGTTAGCTGTGAGTCAATTCTGACTTAACAGCCACTGAGTGAAACAGAAATACTATAATAACTTATTATCTGGTTATGTCTCCTACAGGAAATCTATAATTATTGAACTATTATTACTAACTTATATATTTCTCCTCTTTTCTAATTTTTTTCTTTGTATTTTGAACCAAATTGTTCAGCAGTTTTTAAGCTGAAAGAACTGAAGAACAAATTCGAGTTGCAATGCTTAAGGATGCTATGGGCAGAATATTGAATGGCTCAGAAAGCATTAAAAGAAGACAGGAGTATGGGTGACACAGAAGAATTTCAAGGAACAACATATGATCAAGGGACAATGGTGATGAAGGAGGAAGTTCAAGAAGCTCTGAAGGACTTGGCAAATAATAAAGCCCCAGGAACTGATGGAACTCCAATTGACATATTTCAACAAACAGGTGTTGCCCTGGATGTGCTCACCAAGTTGTTCCAGGAAATCTGGAGGACAACTACTTGGCCAATTGACTGGAAGAGATCCATATTTATTCCCATTCCAAAGAAAAGTGACCTGACAGAGTGTGGAAATTATCGAACAATATAACTAACATCACACACTAGCAAAACCCTGCTGAAGATTATCCAGAAATGACTGGAACAGTATATTTATAGAGAACTGCCAGAAATACAAGCTGGGTTTAGAAAAGTTCATGGCACTAGGGACATTATTGTAAATTTAAATGGATCTTGGCAGAAAGCAGAGTACAAGAAGAATGAATGTCTTTCTCTGTGTCATTCACTATGCAAAGGCATTTTACTGTGTGGATCACAATAAATTGTGGCTAACCTTGAGGATAATGGGAATCCAAGAACACTGGATTGTGCTTATGTGAAATCTATACTTGGAACTGAAAGCTGCCCTCCAGACAGAGCAGGGAAACACCGCATAGTTCAAAATAGGAAGGGAGTGCATCTGGGATGCAACTTGTCTTCATACCTTTTCAATCTATATGCAGAACAGATCATTTTGGAAGCAGGGCTTTATGAGGAGGAATGTGGTATCAGGATTGGAGGTAGACTCATCAACAGCCTACATTATGCAGACAACATAACTTTGCTTCTTGGAACTGAAGAAGACATGGAGTGTTTGCTACAGAAAGTCAAAGACTGTAGTCTTCAATATGGATTAAAGCTTAAAATGAAGAAGACAAAGATACTCACCACTGGGCCAATTGGCAACACCATGATAGATGGTGAAGAGATTGAGGTTGTTAGCAATTACACCTTACTTGTTTCCACAAACAATATTCTTAATACCAGCAGTCAGGAAATCAAAAGACAAATTGCCTTGGAAAAAATTGCTGTCAGGGACCTCTCCAGAGTGTTGGAAAGGAGCGATGTCTGTCTAAAGACTAAGGTGTACCTAATCCAGGCCATGGTCTTCACAATTATTTGTTATGTGTCAGAGAGTTGGACAGCAACTAAGAATAGCAGCAGAAGAAGAAGCTGTGCTTTCAAATTGTAGTCTTGAACACTGACTTCCAAGAAAATAAATAGGTATAATCTTAAAGAGGATGAAACCAAAATTCTCCTTGGAGGCTAGGATTTTGAAGCTTCATCTTACATACTTTGGGCACATGGCAAGAAGACACGGGTCCTTGGAGAAGAATATCATGCCTTGAAGGGTGGAAGGACAGTGCAGGAGCGAAAGACTTCAGATGAGATGGATTGATATAGTGACTGGGGTAAATGAGGGTTGGTGTGTCAGAATTAGTGAGATTGGCTCAGGACAGGGAAGGGTTCAGAGCTGCTGTGCATAGGGTCACTGTGGGTTGCAGGTTACTCGACGGCACATAATAACAATAGTATATGAGTACTCTGCTACCTGCAACCTGTCTAGTAAAACTTCCATTAATTTACTAACTTCTCTAGTGGTATAGTTCAAAGGGTGCTGTGCTGCTAACCTAAAGGCAACACCTTTCTTGCTGTTTAAATTCACCCGCAGGAAGAAAAACAGGAAATCTCCTCCATGCAATTTGTAGACTCCTGAAAACCTGCTTGACCATCACTAAGTTGGTTTCAATTCAATAACAATGAATTTAAGTAAGCTTCCTATGCTATAAGATCTTGGAAAATCATTAATTTTTCCACCTGACCCTGATAGTTCTTATTAAAATGAAGAATATTGTTTTTAAATAAGATTCAATCCACACATATTAGAATATAATACACATTGAGAGTAATACACTTTAATCCATGGTAATGTAAATATGAGATTAGAAGATAGTATTAATTTTTATTTGTTCTCATCTAGACTTTTCTCTTGACTTGAGTTCAAAGCCTAGGATTTGTTTTTAAATATTGAGTCTAAACCTCTCTTGCTACTATCGAAATTTGTCTTTCCTTTCTATACATTCAATAAAATCAGACACACTTTGTATTAACTATTGGTGAATTAATAAGCTTCTTTAAAAAAGATATCTTCTTCAAAATTTTATATTTTTTAGTTAGTAACAAAAAAATGTAAGGGCATTTTTAACAAAAGATTCAAGTTAGTGGGATTCTTTTTAAACTTTTAACCTTTATGTGTATATGTGTGTAAGCAAATTTCTTCTTACTTTATATTCTAAGATACTTTCTGTAGCAAGTCTCTGACACCTTCAATGATGAACACTATGTTATGAAAAAATGGAAAATTTATACATACGTGATTAACTGAGCAATATCATGGCGCTTTCGTCTTGGGAGGATATTCCCTCTCCATTTAGAAAAATTTTCCAAGGTATAGCTTGCATTTGGGGTTATCTTTATCTTATCTTCATCTGTCCATATTTCCATGCCAACTAAGGCCACGTGAGTATTGAGTTTTTTATAAAGCTGGTCAGAGAGACAAATGGTAAAGGAACAATTTATAATGATGACATTGTCTTTTTATCATTTCCACTGTGCTTTTACTTTCAAGCTTATTTGTTAAAACAACATAAGTACCTTTCCTCTAAGAATATTTCTAAAACAAAAGTTTCAGTCTTTCATTTGTAGATCCTGTCTCACCTCTCCTATTCTAAAGTAGGGCACATACCCTTCGAGGTTTTACTTTAAGCTCCTTTTTTTGGGGAGTAAAGACCTCATTGAAATGAAGTTCTTGTCATCTCAAATAATAATTTTATTTTAATAACTCACAACTATGGTTTCTTTGAAGTATAATTACTCCTGATTTTGAATGTTCTTAAGGACTTATATTTCAGAATTAACTCAGTTGGCTCAGTTCCAGTTTTTGACATTAGAAGCATTGCTCACTGCGTTAAAATGTCTCACATCTATGAAGCAGAGTATGATATGTGAATAAGTAATTCTTAAACAGAATCTGCAAAAAAAGGGGACAAACTTCAGAAATAAAAAGTGATAGTTATGCTTGTGATTAAGAAACTTTTTTCTTAAATAATTTTTTTTAATTTTATACTGGTTTGCTTACAAAGTTTGTATATGTTGTTTTTCATGTTGGATCTTTCCCATTTCCTTTACCCACTTCTACCTCTACCCATCAAATTGTACACCTCTATGATTATCACCTCCTACCCATCCTCACTCCTCTGCTTATACCCTCCTCCTCTTGGATCCTCACACATATTTTACTAGTGATCTTTCTATTTCTACAATAATGGTCTTGTATTTATCCTTATGGGACTAAGTTAGTTTACTTAATATAATGCTCTCTAGTCCCTCCCTAGTTAGGTAGTAATTTATAAAATCATTGCTTTTGCTTGCTGCGTAGTATTCATTTGTATGAATGTATCACAATTTCTCAATCCATTCATTGAGGTTGGACACTTTGGCTGTTTTTGTGTTCTTTTTTTATGGTGAATAATGCTGCTATGCACATTGGTGTACCAATCTCCAATTGTGTCCCAGTTCTCATTTTCTCAGGGCATATTCCAAGGAATGGGATAGCTGGGTCATATGTAATTTCTATGTTCAGCTTTTTTGAGGAAATTCCAAACTACTTTCCAGAGTGGTTGTATCATTTTACAATCCCACCATCAGTGTATGAGTTCCTATCTCTCCACAATCTGTACAATATTTATTTCTTGCTGCCCTGTTCAACTTTGCTCCTGCTTCTGGTTTTGATTTGTGGTTTGTGATTTGAGCGTTTCTTCATGTGTCTTTTGGACATCTGAATCTCTTCCTCTGTGAAAAGTCTTTTCATGGGGTCCCCGCCCCCAATTTTGTAATTGGATTATTGGTCTTTTTCTTGTGGAAGCCCTGTAAATATCTGTCAACTTTTGATATGAGATCTTTCTCTAAAATTGTATTCCCAAATGTTTTTTCCCAGTCAGTAGGTATTCTGTTGGAAAATGTTTTTGATATGTTTTAGAAGGTCTCATTCCTCAATTTTATCCTCTCTTGATTGTGACATTTTTGAATGGCTTAGGGTGATTCGTAAAATTAGACTATAATGGGCCTTAATTTTTGAAAAGGGGTAGTTTGGGAAATGATCAAAGTATAGAATGATGTATTCACCATTCAAAGAAAAGTGAAAATCTGAACAGACTCTAATCCTCCAAATAGCATCCTTATTTTTACCTTGATTTATTTCACTCCTCTGAAAAATGCAACATGTAGTTTAACTAAATTTTCCCCTAACAGTCTCCTCTACCAAAACAGCTGAAGGCTGTCTAAACACAACTGGAGAAAAGTACAACATATCTGCTCCTCTCTCTTTGAAATTCTTATATTTTCTTTTATATATTCATTTTCACCACATGATCCTGGCCCCAAATAGGCTGAGTTTGGACTTAATCACAAGGGAACTTCCACAAGCTCCAATCCTCACCTCATCCACCTTTCTGTACCACATGAATGGATCACCTGCCAGCCCAACACCAACTTGGGTGCCAAGTGTCACCCCTATCAAGCACATTAAACCATGAACTCTCTTCTCTTCACAGTCTATAAAGAATCTTCCATCAAATCATTCCCATCAGCATAAAAAAGTATAATTTGACACATTTTAGGGAAACAATACTTCTTTTTTTTCTATATTTTATTAATTTTCATAAATATTTACAGAGATTTTGGGCTTCCACTCATTCATTGTTGCACTATTCTCTCTACCCTCCTCCCAGTTTGTTCTTGTCCAAATGCCACAGTGCTTGTCTAAGCCAGTTCTGATTAATCTTCTTTGTCAGTGTGTCCTTTGCCATTCCCTATCACTCCTCCCTGAGAGAGACTTCACCCTGAGTCATAAGGAAAAGGGTACGGCGTATTCTCTTAGCTACTTCCTGCTGAAAAGGGACGCTGTGGGTTTCAGGGTGAAGATCTTCTCTCACTACTCTAAAGGGCCCCTTTGGCAGTAGGAAACACATAGACTATTATGGAGATTGATTTTGGAATTTAGATGCACTCTTATTGATTGTGCTTGGCTGTACATGTTCATATCCTTGAAGATGTATCATGGGGGTGTTGCAACCTAGAAGACACAAATTTGACTAATACTACTTCCTCATTACTCTACTTTCTTTAACAACAGAATTTGTTAAAATAATTTTCTGTATTTGCTATCCCAAATTGTTTTCTCATTCCCTCTTGGATTCACTCTATTCATGCTTTTATTCATGTTTTAATTTTTCCCCACAAAACTAGACTTGTCAGGGGCCCAATAATCATTATTTTGTTGAATCCAATGATCAATTTTCAGTCTTTAGCAACATTTAATATAATTTATCATTCCTTCTGGTGGCCTAGTCAGTAAGGAATTGCACTACTAACCTAAAAGCAAGTGTTTTGAATCCATTATCATTTCTAATGAAGAAAAATAGGCACTCTCCTCTTAGGCAATTCATTGCCTATGAAAACACTGTAGAGTGTAAGCTATGAATTGTCTCCAACTTGATGGAACATTATAACAGCAACAATTATTTGACAAATTTTTTTCTTCAAACATCTTCTAAAACACAGTCTATCCCTTCATATTTTTTGTTTGTTTTAGATTCTTGCTATCACTTGTAATCAAATAAATACTCCAACTTTCTTTAACCTGAACTAGGAATTTGAAAACCTTTTTTGTTTAGGGCCAGATAAACTTTGAAGAATATATAATCCTTGTCATAGCTACTCAACTCTATCACTGTGGTGGAAAACTTGCCATAGACAATCAATATAGAAGCAAATAGGCGTGGCTGTGTTTATATAATGGAGATCTGGTAGTATAACCTGTAGTGAGTTGTACTGATAACCCAAAAAGATGGGGTGTCCGCAGTGGTTTGTATTCATGAGGGAGAAGGCTAATAGTCTCTTCCTTTTAAAAAATGGTAAATTGCATGTAATGTTGCTATGACCTATGAGTTGGAATCAGTTTCACAGCAGTAAGTTTGTAAGTGAGCAAAGTGACAATGTTTAAGTAATTTTTTTCCAAAGGCAATAGGTAGAATTTAGTTTATTATCCCCTTATTAATTTATTATTTATTTCTATAACTTGCCCAATTTTGTATATCATTTCTACTAGGATGTTTATAAAAATTGTATCAAATTTAGTGTATCTAAAACAGAAACCATAACCTTCGTCCTTGGTAGTGATTGGAAGATGTTCTTCCTCCTTCTTCAAATTGCTCAGACTAGAATGCTTGGTATATTTTTTTTATTCCTCTTATTTCTCCACTTCCATCTATAAACCCTGCTGACTCTGTTCAGAGCTCATTATCACCAACTTCATTACTACTGCTTTTGCCCAAGCCATTTCTTGCCTTGAATTATGAACTATTCTCCTAGTTTTGCTGATTCTGTCTTAGTTTTTTTTCAGTCCCTTTTCAGTTTAATGGTCAAAGCAAACTTTTATGAACATTAACCTAGTTTTATAAAACCTACTCCAGGCCTTGCCAGGTCTAGACCTTAAATGCAGAATGTTAAAGTTCCCAGCACACCTCAAGCACTTAGCCCCAGACCTGACCATATCTTTATGAGACTTGATTATATCCTGATAAGGCCCTCCAACCCCCAATTTTCCTGGGCCTGATTATATCTGATAAGACTTCTACCTTCACCTTCCCGAGCAAACTACCATTCCCTCTCAATATCCTAACAGACACTATAAAAGAAAACTGCCTTTGTCTGCCTACATGCCATTCTGATCTTCTCTGTGTGAGTTCACTTGGACTCCCTCTCAGGTCTACTTAATAAAAGCCTGTTCATTTCTTGGGATCAGCTGCTTCTTCTCCTTTCTCTCTCTGTTGTTTTTCTATCTAACATAAAATAATTGTCAAAACTCTTAAACACAATCACAAAGGTCTTCTCATCTAGCCACCACCATCTCTTACATGCCTCCTCCCAGCCCCACGTCATTTCACTTCACTTCTGCCACATGTACCTGTTTGCTATTGGTGTTTGGTGCCATCAAGTCTGCAATGTCTTAAAGCTATGCTATAAACAACAGCTTTGAACCTTGACTTAGCCTGTGTCATCCTCATCATCTCTGATATATTTTTAAGCCCATTGTTACAGCTGCTGTGCCAAATATCTTGTTGAGGGTCTTTCTCTATTTTAATAATCCCCGCCTTTCCTAATATGATGGGCTCCAGCCCCCCTACACCCCCACCCAAGACCAGCTTCTAACAACATGCCCAGAATATGTAAGACAAAATGACATTATTTGTGCCTATAAGGAACATCCTGGTTGCACTTTCTCCAAGATATATTTATCATTTGTTCTTTTGGCAGTATGTGGGATATTCAGTACTCTTTTCAAACACAATTTAAAGACATCTATTCCTTTTAAGTCATCTTTAGATCTTTAGTCATTGTCCAACTTTCAAATGCATAGGAAGTAATTGAAAGACCATACTTTGGATCAGACCCACCCAAGTCTTTAAGCTGACATCCTGTTT